CACAGCATAGCTTCAATCAATAACAACCGAAGCCAATTTTCATAAACTAAACAACTCTCGTTTCAAATACATTTAATGAACAACATCGATTCGGAAAAAAAGACTCAAGAAAAATTCCGCAAAGTACAACAAAATTTCAAACAACATACATTACACCAACGCAATTCACCAATACTGCAACTTAGGATAAAGCAACAACAATCCAAAACTCAAAACACATAACACACATAATCACCAACATTGCCAATCGGCCAAAGCCAACCTAACAGGTGAGGTGGTGATGAGTACGACTACAAACGCGAAAACTATGAAAAGTAGGTACAACACACATATCAAATGAAATATTGTAGATTCAATAACAAAAATTAAAAAAATAAATAAAATCAAATGAAATTATCGCATAGTTGGAGGTAAGCTTTGTATTTCCTCCTAGGTATACTTGTGCTTCTCAGGAGGTAAGCAATGCGAGCTTGGTACCACATGTACACACCAACCTGAGAATATCCTCAACCAGAGACTCCGAAATCCGCAGATTTTTTAAGAGATTGGTACGGGATGAAAAATCAAGCTCATTCTCGCAAAACATTTGCTAGAAATTGCTGAATCCAGCCTTCAATTGAGCTCGATTTCAAATGCCGATGGTCGATTTGTGCTAGGGCTTCACCGAAATGAGTTAAAGTCATGGCTAAAGTTTTATAACAGTGTCATGTGAGGGCCCGTGTTACTTCCGTCAACATAATTAACTTCTAGAGAAATAGAGGGAAATAAAATTATATTATTCCAAAAAAAAAAAGAAAGGGAAAACTATATATATATTGAAAATTAGAAAATCTATCATAACTAACTAAATCATGGATATGGATAAGATATGGATATGGATATAGATATAGATATGGATATGATTTTAATAAATCTAATACTCCCCCTCAAGCTAGAGCGTACAAATCATACGATCCAAGCTTATTGCAGATAGACTGAGATCTAGGACCTCTCAGAGCTTTCGTGAATATGTCTGCAAGTTGATCATTTGAAGGCACATATTTAGTATCTATATATCCAGATAATACTTTCTCTTTAACGAAGTGACAATCTATTTCGATATGTTTCGTTCGTTCATGAAATACTGGATTTGATGCAATGTGTAGTGCTTCTTGGTTATCACACCATAACTTCATCTTCGTCACATAACATATATTAGGTTCACAAAGTAATTGTTTAATCCAGAGAAGCTCACATGTAGCTAAAGTCATAGCACGATATTCAGCTTCAGTACTAGAGCGCGCAACCACATCTTGTTTCTTACTTTTCCAAGATATCAAATTGCCTCCAATAAATACGCAATAACCAGAGGTAGAACACCTATCGATTGGAGACCCCGCCCAATCAACATCTGAATATCCAACGATTTCAGATTGACCATGATTTGTATAAAGTAATCCTTTCCCGGAAGACCCTATAATATACCGCAAAATACGCATAAGTGTTTTCCAATGAGAGTCATATGGAGACTGCATGAATTGACTCACTACACTTACCACAAATGATATATCTGGTCGGGTGATAGTGAGATAACTAAGTTTTCCAACCAGCGTTTTATATTATCCAACATCAATATCAGTCAATGGCTCCCACTGTCTTGGAAGCAATTTTGTATTTGGATCCATAGGGAAATCCACAACCTTACATTCATTTATACCTGTTTCTTCTAACATATCAAGAACATATTTTTCTCTGAGATAGGATAATGCCATTCTTCGATTGGGCAATGTCAATTTCTAAAAAGTACTGTAGTGATCCCAAGTCTCTGCTTTGAAAATGATTGTGTAAATGCTCCTTTAAGTTTGTAATATCATACATATTATCTCCAGTAATGACAATATCATCAACATAAATAATTAAGTAAACACATCGCCCTTCTAAATTATGGTTGAAGAATACGGTATGTTCAGACGAACATTGTGTTATACCAAATTCTTTAATAGCAAGACTGAAATGTCCAAACCACACCCATGGAGACTGTTTCAAGCCATAGAGTGAACGATGAAGGAGATATACAAGACCAGACTCCCCATGAGCAACAAAATCAAAAGGTTGCTCCATATATGCCTCTTCTTTAAGCTCACTATGCAAAAATGCATTTTTATTGTCAAACTGATGAAGGAGGCAACCACGTGTTCCTGTCATCGAAAGAAAAAGATGAACATATGATATTTTGGCAACGGGAGAGAAGGTTCAAGTGTAATCCTCTCCAGACACTTAACTAAAGCCCTTTGCAACAAGTTGAGTTTTAAGTCGATCAATGCGACCATCAGGTCCAATTTGGCTGCATAAACCCATCGGAAAGCTACGGAAGTCTTTCCTGGCGGTAACGGAACCAATTCTCAAGTATTGTTAGCATGCAAAGCAGACATTTCCTCCATCATAGCCTGACACCACCCTAAATGACCCAAAGCCTCACGCCAAGAGCGATGAACAGTGATAGAGTATAAAGCAGTCACAACACTGCACATGGAAGGAGATAAACGGTGATAACTAAAAAAATTATAAATAGAATTCGGATTACGAGTGGACCGTGTACTTCGACGTGGGACGACAGGTGACTGAGGAGTCGCAACCAGGGAAGGCGATGGAACTGAATATGAGTCATCAATAGGCGCAGGTGGTGGTGGAGTAGGTATGTTACGACGCTGCCATGTATGGCGACTATAGACTTGAAGAAAAGGCTTGGGAATGAGGATAATTGGAAATGGAGTCACAGGTATTGACGATGGAGATGATGACACTGTAAAGTATGGTGATGACTCAAAGAATGTGACATCTGCATTAAGGTGATATCGACGAGTGAGAGGAGAATAACATTTATATCCTTTTTGAACTCGAGAGTACCCAAGTAAAATAAATTTGATGGATCGAGGACGTAATTTTTCCAATCCAGAGGAATGGTCATGAACAAAGCACATACAACCAAATACACTGTTAGGTTGAAGACATGTTATGGGAATCTTATGTTCTAAGATAGCATATGGAAGACGATTGATGATGAAACATGCTGTAAGAATATAATCAACCCAAAAATGAAATGAGACATTATAATGTATGAGGTGAGTGCGAGCTGTTTCTATTAGATGACGGTTCTCACGCGCAGCCACTCCATTTTGTTGGGGAGTGGAAGGACACGATGACTGATGAATAATTCTTTAAGATGAGACAAAATCACTAAATGAGTGAGAAAAATACTTTTTACCATTATCACTTATTAAAACCTTGATAGATGTATTAAATTGTGTATGAATTTCAGCACAAAATTTTTTGAATATAGAAAGTAATTCAGATCGATTTTTCATTAAATAAACCCAAGTACCTCGAGAAAAATTATCAATAAATGTTACAAAATATTGAAAACCAAGGGTTGAAGTAGTACGACAAGGCCCTCAAATATCAGAGTGAACCAGTGCAAAGGGCTCAGATGCTCGACTATCGATGGGAAAGAAAGTATGAGACTAATTTCCAAGCTCACATGACTCACATGGTAACGAACATAGTGACGAAAAATTAGAAAAAAAAAACTTTAATTTAGAAAGATTGGGATGACCTAATTGTTGGTGGAACAATTCGGGAGACTCAATAGATGATATAGCAACGGTAGAGGTATTGCGAGGGGACTCGTTTAGGTAATATAGCCCATGAGACTCACGTCCGGTACCAATTGTCCGCCCCATGTTGCGATCCTGAATAACAAGAGAATCACTAGTTAGTAAGATTGAACAATCTAGATCTCTAGTGAGACGACTAACAAATATGAGATTAAATGGACTTTGAGGGACATAAAAATAACATAATTAAGAGGTAAATTAGGTGATGGACATGCTTTACCAACAACTTGAGGGTAAGCTTTATCACCATTAGCAAAAGTAACATGATTTAGTGAATTTGATGGATGAAAAGTAGAAAATAATGAGGGATTACCAGATACATGATCAGTTGCACCTAAATCTAGAACCCATGGACCAAGAGAAGTCTGAGAGACGCCAATGACGGGAGTATGGGTATCAGGTGACTCGGCAGTACTGATGGAGGATGACTGCTGAAATACTTGATACTGAAGGAATGCAACATAATCTTCTCCACGTAAAGTAATATTGTCAGATGAATTTCCAGGCGAATTAGTAGTAACAACATTTGTCGAGTGAGGGGGTTGTCCATGTAATTTGAAGCAACGTTCTCGTGTATGGCCCATCTTGTGACAATAACTACATTGTGGACGACTCCCACTATGATCTTGATTTCTTCGCCCACCACGATTACCGGAGCTAGAATTTTGAGACACCAAGGCTGAGCTATCAAGAGTATTAGTATATGAGGTAGCCACAAGGGTGTTGCTGCTAAAGGAGAGTCATACTAGTCGAACAAGAACATCATCCCGTGTGGGTACAATGTCACCTCTTGGTATTTGGTCTCGAACATGATCAAATTCAGGCTTAAGGTGAACAAGCGCTAATACGGAAAAGAATTTGTCCCAAGCAACCTCTGGATTTGCAGAACCGGTAGAAATTAGGGGACGAAACTCCTGTCGAATAGCTTTCAGTTTACTCACATAAGTAGGAAGATCAAGCGTGTGATCTTTAAATAAAACGAGACTAGAGACTACATCATAGTAGGTTGAATATCATTACTGTAAATGGAAGCAACCTTATTCCAAACTTCATAGCATGTCCCAAATGACTGATATGTGGGAAGTATGGTTGGATCCAAGAAACTCTATAGTAAGGCACATAATTGGGCATCAACTTTTGTTCATCCAGATTGAAATTCTTCTTTAATTCTTGACTCTCTCTTTGTATGGTGGTCAGATTGCCCGTGTCCTTTATACCAAACTCGTATAGATGCAGCCCATGACTTATAATTAGATATATACGCTGTCAAATTATATTTCATGTGCTGATCAAAAGTCTCAACCCCATATATATTTTGATTTGGCTAAGATAAATTAATCTAAATTAAACTTTAACAAAAATCAAACCAAAAACCTAAATATATCGAATCCCTCACATCTGATCTACACCTTGATCGACGATACATGCAAACAAAATAATAAAATGCATTACTCCCGATGCCTCAGGTCATCTGCCACACATAGTTCGCCTAGTGTGACTTTCCCGTCGGGCCTGATTTGCAGGGTATTAGGCTCGGCGGGGGTTCCCACGTCATCCAAAAAAAATAATAATAATAATAAAATGCATTATATATATCAAAATTGTGGAAAATTATTCTCTCACTCTCTCCTTCATATATATATATATATATATAGTTAGAGAATTAGAGAAATTAAAAGCATGCATCCTCCAGTAGTTAATTATTTGTAGGTGGATGCTGCCTTGCCGTATGATAATCAGCACTAAACGCCATGAAGCTGTCTTTAGCTTGGAGTCGGACACCGCCACGATTTCTGCCCCAGTTTTGACCACCTCCTTCTCCTTCTTCTACTGACAATGGTGATTCTTTTGATGCCGTTTTTTGGTGGTTTCTAATTTGATCATTTCTCCTCCTCGCCTTTCGTGCCATGGCCAACTCTATCGATATCAAACTCCTTATTCCGGATCCGGATGTCTCAGCCTCAGCTAGGGTTTTATTAGCATCAACAATTTCCTGCATTTAATTTTATATATATATATATATAGGGATCTTGCTTTCTAAGAATCAAAACTATCCCTACTCATCAAATTTATGCACTTTATTTTCTTTTTTTTATCAACTAATTAATTTTAAATGAGGATGTGAATAGTGACGAAACTAGCATCTTAAATAACGTGTGATAAATCCAATATAATACTATATCATGATTCAGTGTTATTAACTAATTAAATATTATTATATTAAATAAGAAGTAATAAATACATTGGGTCATTTGTTTGAAAACCAAGAGAGTACTTTTATACCAATCATTTATTTTCATATTTATTATTTAAATCTCACAGTTTTAATAAAAAAAGGTATATATATATATACTCACTGCAAAAAAAAAAAATAAGTATATTTGTAACGGAATTTTTTTTCTAAAAATCACGTAGTTAACGTAATTTTATCTCTAAATTTATCTCTAATATCATTAGTAACGAAAAAAAAAAAGTAGATTTAGAAAGGATACAAAATTGATATTTTCTTGTAGTGAATTAAAATGAACACATACAGTTGATCTACAAAACACAAAAAAAACAAACCCTAATATTCTATTTAGAGCTACCTTAGCTTAACTATTCAAACTAACCTCATTTCGATTTCCGTACAATGCAAATCCCTTTCCACTCGTATCCTTAATCACTGCAACACACACAAGGCGAAAAAATAAGCATAGCCACGAATCAGCAAATTTAATTAAAGAATAAATAATATGTTGAAAGTGACAAATTTTGAGAGGATAAAATAAAATTTAATTAATTACCCGGACGAGCTTGCGAATTAATTGAGTTTGCCATTAGCACAATTAAAAAGATGATGGAAATCATATAAACCGTTTGGTTGAATCTTGTCGCCATCATCATCATTTCTGCTACTCCGATCCTTTATTACTCTTTCGTCTGCAGAAGCAGCAGCAGCAGCAGCCTTAATTAGTGAATCTTTTGTTGTCTGTTTGACGTTTAATTCCACATATATAAATATATTATAGAAGGGGGGGGGGGGGGGGGGGGGGGGGTAGAGAGAGATTTGAAATAGTAGAATCTAACTAATATATATAATTTAGTCAAATCTTGAGTTCCAAGAAATAGTTTTGTTTAAATTAGGGTTTTCAGAAATGAGGGCTCGAACGTACGTACGTGGGAAAACTCGAAGTGGTAATATTATTATTAGAAGATTGTTATAAGGCAAAAAGTTGAAGTGAATTTTATGGGTATATTCACAATTGTCGGGTAAAAGATAAAAAGGGTAAGCCCATGTGCCACTGCCTGTTCTTCCTTTTGCCTGCACTGCATCTGCATGCCTCTCTCTCAAAGTTTTTGTTTTAGTTTAGTGTAATCAAATAAATTAAAAATTGGTATTTGAATATAATTTTTTAAGAAAAAAAAATATGAAGTAGTAAAATTAATTATAAAATCCCACAAGTAAACAAAGCCAAAATGTTTTCTTTAATTGTGACTGAGGCTGTCTCAAATATATACAAAAGTTGTTAGATATGATTTAATTTACGAATCTGTTAAGTGGGAAGTCGACAATGAAGATTAATCATGAGTTTAACTAGTGGCGAAAATAGGTACGACCCGAAAATCCAGTCTAAACTTGGCACAAAAAAATCATGTTTTGGTCTCCAAAAATAGATCCAAATTTTTTCGGACCATGCTTGGCCCGGCACGCCAATAAATGGAGCCGTGCCCAGGCCTATGAAAGTTGAGCCGTGCCTGGTCCGACCCGATATTTTAAAATTAATATTTAATATATTTTTATATATATATATACTACGAAATAATAACAAAATTTTAGATGTTGTTTAATGATAAAGTTGTTTACAATTTCCACTTAAATAATTTAAATAAAATTTTTATCAAATTATTTTTAAATTCAAAAAATTAAAAAAACAATTTAAAATAAAAATAAAACAAGTTGCCCCGGTTTCAAATCGAGTCATGCTTGGGCCTAGCTGTTCGGGCCCGATTTAAAACTGGGCCGTGGCTATACGGCCTGCTTTGAAATCAGGTTGGGTCGGGCCGATACGAAAAAATACCGCGTCATCCCGAATTGTCACCCCTGAGATTAACAATCATGAATTCAAATGTCACGTTCTAATTTCTCTATTTATTGACGTTTGTCCATCTGCATTGTGCCTATTGATATATTTTAGTTATTTAGATTTATATTACATTTATATTATTTTGATTATGCCTTTATTATTTGATCATATCCATTACATTAAGGGGCATTTACTTTAAATGATTAGGTCGGATAATATTATTTTATCAATTCTAATACTATATTTACTTTAATATATTTGGGTCTGAGATAATCGCAGGCGCGATACACTAATATCCATTTAGAAGATTATTAATCTAATCCAACACCCTAATATTATTTAATAAAATTTAATAAAATTACTAAACTACTGTGACTCTTGATCTTTTTTCTATCCTATTCATTCCACTTCCTTTACTCTAGGTAGTTTTTTTTCCGTACAGTTCTTTGTGTAGTTCGCTGTTCTTTTTTGCGCACACAGTAACTTCTGATTTTTGTAGTAATTCATCAACTATATATATAAGTATCGAACATATTTGAATGTATGAAAATATCAATGACTTGCACTATAGTAATATGAGTTTGTTGAAATAACTTTGTTAGAAAAATAAGTATTTTTAATAATTTATTTGACAAAAATTATAGCTAAAAAATATTAGAATTATTTTATATGAATATAATAATAATAATAATAATATATATTTAAATTTACTAAAGATTTATTTTGAATTCATTTGAAAAGTAATTATATATATTTATTTTTTTTATCTTAATCAACAAAATATAAAGTGATAAGAACGTGATATATTATATTGTTAATACCTAATTTATAATTTTAAGATAAAATTAAATAAATTCACTTTATAATAAAAAAAACATTATATCAAATTATATACATATCATAGTGGTATCACAATTAAATTTTAATGAATTATTATATATTATATTACTATATTTAAAAAGGAAAAAAATGTAGAAAACAAATTATTTAATTTATAATATGATTATAGAGGGTATTTTGAATAAAAATAAATAATCATATCATATAATCTAACAAAGTAGACATATATAATTTTATCTATTGTTTAACATTATCAAGTAAACATTATAATAATTAATCATTTGATTATTTAATTTATTGAAATAATCCTTAGTATTATAATACAATCCTTCAAGGTAAATACCCCTTAAATTGTTATAATTTTTCGAATATATATAATATCCATTTATACACTCTTATTTCCATTATGAATGTAATATAATTTTTGAAGTTTTTCTGTAATAAGTTTACAGGGCCAAAAGAATTTTGTAGTCTATCAAGTCTATCCACACTTTTCATTTTGGGCTATTATCAAAAAAAGTTATTTATTTATTTTTTTAGTAAAAAATTATATTATTTTTATTTTATTATAAAATGTATATATATACAACTATATTAAAATTTATGTCCAAAATTTTGAACATAAAATTTATACAGTATAAGATAAAAATCTAAAATATTCTTAATTAAGTTTAGTAAGTCAAGAATAAAATATAGGATATTTATTATCTTAGTAAATAAGAATAAAAATGAAAACAAAAGTAAATTAATAATTGAATGAAAGAACATAAACTATTAATAAATAAAATTAATTTATAAATTTACTTTGATAGGGAAATACCATCTATGCTATTCTCTTCTGTATCGACGAGCTTGGTAGACATGGTAGACTCAACACAGTCAAAGTCGTGTGTACACTTGACATGTAATAACAGCACACGGTCAAAAAGTATCTCAATATATATAAATATATTAGTAATGGCTTCGGCGTATGTATTGACTGACTCAATCAGTGTATGTTCATAAAAATAATAACATATATATGACAACATATCTTAATATAATATAAAATACATATTTGCACTTAAAAAAATAGTATATTTATAACGGAATTCCGTCACTAAAGATCACGTAGCTAACGTAATTCCATCATTAATTCCGTCTCTAATATCATTAGTAACGGAAAAAATGAATTTAAAGACGAAAAAATCTCGTTACAAAAATGGTATTTTATTGTAGTGTTGGTAATATATTATATAATTATATATTATATAATATATTTTAATTTCAGCACAATAAATAATTATACACCATAACATAATATATAATTTACATAACAAAAGTTAATACTCTCTCTGTCTCATAAGAGGATACTATTTTCTATTTTTTGTCCCAAAGGTATTATTTTCCAATTTAGTAATTTTAATGTTTATCTAAAATAATAAATACGTTTACAACTTATAATATATTACACAAATATTATTACTTTTATATTATATCATATTAATAAGGGCATTTTTCTCTTTCTTTTTTTTTTTATTAAAAATCAATATAATACTAATATTAAAAAATTTACGTGCGAAAAACAAATTATACTTTTATTACGGACAGAGGTTGTATAGTATATAACATAGCATATTATATAAATTTGTATAACAATATATTGTAGGTGGTGATCGGAGGTTCTTCAAATTCTACAGCCCTACCGAACAAAGTAACATGGTCATACTTAAGTGCTTGGGAGGTCAGATCTGCTGCGAAGATGGTTGTAAGGCCCGTGGGAGACCAGATCTCTAGTTGCCTGGAATTGACCTTCATGGTCTTATTTTTTTGAGTTTCTTCCTCCAAAAGCAGCGCAAACTCATTCTGAATAGCGAATTTCAGAATGTCAGTAATGTATCGAGATAAATCCAGGGTGGATCCGTGAAGGGATGACCGAATTTCCTCCCGAATTTTCTCTTGAAGTAAGCTAGCACGAAGGTTGATAATCTGATCTAACCTTCCAACAGTTGTGGACGCCTCATAATGTGGAAAAAATTCAGGTGCAGGCCGGGATGACGATTTATCGCCGACGATTCCTTTGTTTTGAAACATCTCTGCAGTTGTCGGTGCCATAAATTCTCTTTCGAAGTTGCATGCAAAAGTCGCGAGATGTTGGTGTCCCACAAGACGTGCCAATTTTGTTGTCGTAAAAAATTGTTACCGACGGCTTAACCGGAAAGACTGTCGGAATTGATTTGTTCGAAGGGTTCCCCCGGCCTCCTCACGAAAGGATCTGGAATATCTCGTGATATCCGAATAATAAAACAAGAATGAAGCTGAAGAAAAAAAAAAAAAAAAAAAAAAAACTCAAATTAATGAAAAAAAAAAACGGATAAAATATTACATTGTTCTTGAAAAAAAGCTTTAAAAAAAAAAGACTGAAATTAATCATGTCTTGTTTGTTTGCTTGCTAGCTTCAATTGGGCTGCTTCTACAGCTGAGCTGACTTGATCACTGAGTTGGTCGAATTCGCAGATTCATTTGTTGATCTGAATCTTCTGTTGGGCCGCGAATCTCCCGAAGTTTGGACTGCACTTGTATTGAACTGATCCAATTAATTTTGAGTGTGTACAGTATGTTATGTATAATAAATATATATTGTATAAATCAAATGTAAAGCCTTTCAAACGAAACTAGTCAAATAAACGATGCATACTAGGCAAGACTTGTGTGATAAACTTAATATGAAAACATAAATAGGATTTGATCTATAAAATTATGATTACAAATTTGTCTACTACAAGGGTTTGCTTTTTTATAATTTTAAATTAGAATTAATATTATTTATTCTTAGTTTTAAATAAAAATATATTATTTTTTTATATATAAAATATCATATTAAAAATTATTTAAATAAAAAAAATATATAAATTTAACATTTTATTTTTAATCAATTTCAAATAACAATCAAACAAATCCTAAATAGATTACCTTTCATTACGAGACTATTTCTTCCACTTGAGAATTTTATATACTTACGTGTAGTAGATTAGGAAAAAATAATATTGTTTTAGTGAAAGAGATGATATATAAAATAACATTTTAAGATTTTAAGATATTATTGGATTTCGTGGGATGGAAAATTAAATTTTATAAATAAATATAAGAATAATAATAAATTAATAATTAAATTTAAAAGCTAGCATTTAGAATATAAATAAAAATAATAATTATTTTTGTCATGAGAAATTGATTATTTAAATAAAACAATCTTAAACGGTAAGTGAAACGATACATGTAGAATAAATTAAATGTGTGTTTATTTTGAAGAGTGATATTATAATTCGTAGAATTATTTTAATAAATTATATAATTATAGGATTAATTAATATGATATTTACTTTATTTGATTATATAAAGGATAATATAAATTTTAGTATAAATATTATTGGGATAAATTAATCCTACCTCTACATAAAATTAATTATTTTTAATTAGCATATTAGTGTAGGAGGTTAATCAATAAGGGCTTGGGAGAGGATTGGGTTCACCCATGTAAATGTGATTATATATCATTACATTAATTATATAATTTAATAAAATAAATTAATATAACAAATTTTTAGTCTATCAGTATGGGACAACACCCGATCTCTTCGCTAAGGGCTTTAAATACGTGATTAAATTAGATAAAATAATATTTTATGTCATAATCTCTCAAAGTAAATAAATCTTGATAATATTGTTGGTGAGTTTTTTTAAAGGAATTTAAACAAGAAATCAAAGTAAAAGAAAAAAAAAAGAAAGTAATTTCAGGCAATTTGCATCTCAAATCACTACGAGAAAAATGGCAATTGCCTTAAAAAATAACTTTGGAATCTATTTCGAAACTACGATAATACATTTTAAATAATATTAAATTATATAACTTCGAATGTTCCGAGTCCATTCCATGACCGGTCTTTAGGACTCGGAAATTTTGAAGCTTTATTATACTTTCTATCTCAATTCAAATGGCCATTTAGTATTTGATAGTAGATTAATAAATAATAATATTTTTTTAATTAGTGGAAGTGTATAAGATAATTTTGATTTTTTTATTATTTTTACTTTATTTATAAATTAATTATATGTGTAATGATATATTTATAATTTTTGTAAAAATTAAAGGGTATTTTGGTATTAGTACATAGTTACTTTTACTATAATAAGAATTAAATATTTTTTAGTATAAAGAATTGTAAAAATAGTACTTTCAGTTAGGATAAAATGAGTATTTAATATTTTTAATATTTAAATAATATATAAATTCTTAGTCCATTCTTAAGCCAGCATTATGAAACTTAGAAATTCTGTAGGTTTATTATATTTGATATTTTTAATATTTAAGAAGTACAAATATTCCGAGTCCATTCCGAAACCAACACTATATGGGACTCAGAAATTTCGAAACATGATTATATTTTTTATTTTTTAACATTTAAAAAGTATAGAAATTCTAAGTCTCCTTTCGAAGCCAACACTATGGCACTCGAAAATTCTGAAACTTTATAAAATATGATTTTTTATTAGATATTTTAAAAGTATAGAAAGTCTGAACTTATTCCATGGTAAGTGCTATCTCTTAAATATAATATTTTAATATTTAAAATAAGTCTCGAAAATTTTAAAAGTAATATATTTAAAATTTTAAAAAATAAAAGATTTCAATTCTATTCCGAAGTCGTACTATGAGTCTTGGAAATTCTAAAATAATTTTATATAATAATATTTTTTAAAATTTTTATTAGTATAAGAGGTTTCTAAATCCATAATTAAAATATCTTCAATTTCTTTTAATTAATAGTATTTTTTTTAATTTCTATATAATAATTTAAATAATAAAAAAAAAATCAATCCTAACTTAAACAAACCAAACCCTAAAATAAACAATCTTTGCCGTCGTGCACCTTCTTCTTCCTCCAATTTTTTGTTCTTCGTTTCCTTCCTCCTCCCTACCCTTTTTCTTCTTCTTTTTCAATCACGTTGAACCGAGATGGAACGTTTCTCCGTAAAAATAAATATGCCCTGTAGTGTCTCCGGTTTGTGGAACAATGTTTTCAAAAATAAAACGATGTTCATCTCCGAATTATGTGACATTCCAATATTTCGAAGCTCTGACGAACTTATCGGAAATTCGTTAGAATACCTATATATACTGAATATAGGTATATATTAGTATCGTAATATATAGTGAACATACTATATACTGCTACCACACCAAAATTAATGATATGCTTTCCTACCGTAGCAAAATCTACAGTATATTGGAAACAGAATTTAATTATATACGATATAGATGGTATATTGTACTTTTGATATTTTTCACTCTATAATTTAGAATATAAAATACTCGTGCATAATACGGATTACCCGCTAGTTATATATTTATTTGTTTTTATTTAAATATCATATCAATATTTTTTTATATTACACTAAATTATTATTTTAAATAAAAAATATAGCAAAAATCGAAATACAAAGAGTGTATTCATCTAATAATACTTTTGATTCTCATTAATACATATGTTCACACACTATACCTAATAGATATACTCTACTTACTCACAAATAATAATAATAATAATAATAATAATAATAATAATAATAATAATAATAATAAATAAAATATTAATTATTATACTACCAAAATATTTTTTCATACCTCATATACAAAAACACACTTCAAACTAAAATATTAAAGAAACTTACATATACATATAACCAAGCAAATAGTTTAATATAATGTAAATAAAAAAATAATAGTAAATAAATAGTGGGGCTCACAAAAAATATTAAAAAAAAACAAAAAAGAAAATATCACACATCATCAAATGTCAAATATATATATATATACACACATGAAATTTTAAATTTTAATTAGGCAACAATCAAACCTCACATAATATGGAAAAAGTTTTTCAGGTTTCATTCCCTATTTATTAATATCGCCTTAATTTGATTTCAGAATAGATTAAATATTAATTATTATTTGATTTCTTAAATTTTTAAAATGAGAATTCCTACAATTTTCCATATGAGTAGAGATAAGAAAATGGTTAAGTTGCAATGACACAATTCTCTTCAAAGAGATGTTATCACATAGGGCAATATAATTTTTAACTTTGAACCTTCATTTTTCAATCTCGTCAGGTACACAGGCAACCTAGAGTGAACTTTGTCTAGAACTATTCCGCCACAACGTTCACCTAAAGAACATTATCGAAAGTTAACACCTGACCTCTCGTCTATTCTCACATTTGTTCATTTTGGGTCATGAAAAATATTTTTGTCTTCATAAATACTTTACTTAAAGCGGTCCCCACTTCGCACTTGCATAAGTGACTTCTCAAAAATATTATGTTGCCTATGATCAATAGGGAGTCATTAAAGTTCAACGCTTAGCCTTCACTACTAACAGGATAATCAACACTCGCTGTTTGCTCTTTTCATTATCGAGGAATGGTGGAAAACATATCTTCAAAGTGTTGTAACGTGAACTTATGTAATTTAGTTTTCCTATTGAACCAAATTTGTGGGATTTTCACTCTTCAAGGTTAGGTGTCTACTATAGTTATTCTCAGTTTTGGTTTTTCAAACTTATTCCTCTAAGCAACTTCAAAAGTTGATCTTCGTTTAACTCTTACGTTAGCAAATTCGTTAGGTTATTCAAAGACTTCATGTAGTCCAACGAGATTACCCTTCGTAAGATCAATTCTCACATAATATTATGGCAACGACGGATGTATTGTGACTTACTGTTGTATTTTTTTTTTTAATATTAAATATATATATATATATATTTTACATTTAAATTATATTTTATTGGTTTTATATAATATAATATTATAATTAAGCATACCTTTGCAAATGAAATATTTACTTTGTAATTAGACGTTTCAAAATAAAAATATTTATACTTTCTAACTGGACGGAGAGACCGTATAATATATATACTCTATTCACTCACAAAAGTTAATAATTTAACACAACTCTCATATAATATATAATACTTTTGCCGAGTAAAAATAAGAGACTTGTACAAAATATTTCATTAGTTCATTCTAAAACAGGTATGATCTCCCTTCCAATATTTCAAGTTCAATAAAACAATCTCATGGGAGGAGAATTTCCTCAACATGGATACTTATATGCTTACAGACATACATACATATTTTGAAGTTCAATAGAACAATCTAAGCCACGACACAAATCAAATCAAATCAAATACTGGTTCAACAGCCATATATTACTCACCAGATCGATGTAACATCCATGGAACCAATTCCAAATCAGAGGGTTGATTTTGGAGGGGAATAGTGGTTCCTTCCACTTGCTCTGCGCTGCTGCTTTGAGCTTCAACTGTTTCACTGTACACCAAACAAAGATGATTATGTATGCATAGATGTGGAAGTAAAATATTCAATTCAAACCGAGGCTTGATTTATTTAATTTTTATTATTTTTATAGCTATACATGTAAATATTCATGTGTCGAATATTATTACGAACCTGAAATTCAGAGTGTTCATAGGCTGCAGCAAATCAAAACATGATGGTCTTGAATTGTTTTGCTCTTCTGGAGTGGCGGATGATGATTCTGTCTCTTTCTCCTTTTTCTGCTTTAGATATATTTATATATATATATATAGTTCAGCTCAGCTCAGTTTAGGACATTGATGTCAAACCTTCAAAGACATTCTTAAATAACTTGCATTGTTTGTATCAATCAAATGAAACTCTCCTTGTATCGGATAATTACTATAGATTGTCATTTTCCTAGAATTTGCTAAATTGATTTTCTACAAAAAATTATCGAATTCAATGCTCATTTTTATCATTCAAGCATCATATCTAATCATTATTTTAAAACAAAATTATTACATCATAAAACAAAATTTCTTTCAAAACAGCTTATAACACTTAATATTTCAATACACTTAAATAAATTATTTGTCTAAATCAGCATATATAATAAACATATACAATATCTTTACTACATTGCATCAAATCGGATCTGCCTTCTAATTTATTTTATTTTTTTCAAATCAGGTAAATTGAGGGTTTTTTAGAACTCAAAATCAATATGAACCAATATCCAATATAGTCAAAAAGTTAAATAAATAAATAAATAACTCGAAATTCCTAATTCGATTGCATATTGTAAATATTAAAAAACCTCCTTTTCTTATATTGATTCAGACTTACAGCCCTAGCTAACACTGTCTTTATATGAAAACTAGCAATTGTGTTAACTAAATGAGATGATACCTTTCTTGCGAGCAAATTGTTCTGATCCTGCAGTGCCTTATCCTGAAATAGAAAAGTTCGGTACTATTACAATATGATGTTGAAGTAATAATAAGAACAGCCTTGTCAAAGTATTAGGGGGCGATATAAAATTTTTAAAGTAAATAGGGAATTTAAGCTGAGCTTCGAAACCATAAGGAAGTAATGAACAATTTTACTTTTACTAAATTCAAATCTAGATCCATATAATGGGGATCAGTTTTCAATCTCTATATGACCGGACCGGTTAGGGTGCCGATTCGGTCAAATAAATATTGTATTCATTTGACTCAATCAACATATATAATCAAGACAAATAGTATATATTTGACAGCATATGATATAGTTTCATATAGCACATATATTGCCAACACGTAATATTATTCCACATAGCACATATATTGAAAGCACGTGATATACTTCCACATAGAGTATATTATTAAATTCAATACAACATGCTTTTATATGATACAATTATGTATTGTGTTATATAGAATCTTTCTTGATTATATGTTACAGAATCGAATCAGCATAGTACCATTTGATTTAATCAACACTCTAACCACCGTTTCATATAATTTATGCACCTATTACATTCTATCAGTTACAGAAAGTTAAAAGTGTAAGGACAAATCTTAATTAATTAAGGGAAGTAAGCATGCCTTATTGTAATTAACTGCACAATTTAATAATACTAATAATATAAAAAAAAAAAAAAAAACAGACGTAATTTTCGTATACAAGCTTTGCATGGTGAAAATATTTAAACTCATAGAAAGGGTTAACTGATTCTCACCTGCTTCTGCAACTCAGAAATGGCTTCATGCATTTGTTGGTTCTGTGAGATAAAGAAAAATTATACGTATCAAAAATTAACGACCTAAAGAATCATATAGGTGTGCATGTTTTCATTTTTTAATTTTACTTTTGTACCTTGCAATATATTAGTATAAGATATTTCTCTTAAAAATATCACACTTAACGTCTATTAGATTTAAAACATTATATCTAAGAAAAATAAAATAAAAACTCAACACATCCATGATAATGAAGGCAAATTTCGTGTTAATGATGAAAAATCAGCAAGATGTTGATTTTGAAATAATCTTTAATTCAATATATTAAATTCTTATATGATATTCTATCATTTTGTCAAAGGTAAAATGAGGTTACTTTTCAATTTAAAAAAAAAAAAAAAAAAAAAAAAAGAAAACAAAAAAAAAAAAAGTAAAAGATATTTGAGTTAGGACCAAGAGTGTATTATGCTGTCAAAATTCCCTTATCCACATTCTAAAATTATTCATCTCACATAAAATTCCCTTTCCCATATTTTAATTATTTATCTCATATATTTTTAACATTTATTGTATAGTTACAATTTCATCTATATTTTTCTTTCTTAAATAAATATATACTCTAAGCTTTCCATTTTTTACTAAATTGAATTATGTTGACCATATGTAGGTATATACATATAGTCATCTCTATTATATCAAAATTTATTATCTATAAAATTAATGTATCGAATATTTTTTGATTTGTTCTTTTATAATTTTAAATTGAAATCAATACTATTATTTTTTATAGTTTTCAATAAAAATATTATATTTTGTTTCACAAAATATCACATATTATTTAAACAAAAACTCAAATAAACATTTCAATTCAAAACAATTCCAAACCATAATCAAATAAATGCTTATTGATATATAGTGTTCAAAATACTTCACTACATGCTTTTTCTTTATTTTAGCATCATCAACCAACTTACACAATAATCACATTCTCAAAATCCATCCACATACCATCTCCTTCTCATTTAACACATACACACACACACACAAAAGTGCAAATCCAAAAAACCTCCAAAATATAAAAACAAACCCAAAAATCATCAAAACACCCCCCCCTAAGTGTATGTTAGTGTATAAATTGTTGACTATAATTATTGGATATGTTGAATAACTATATATAGGATAGGATACCTGATCTAAAAATAAACAAGATGTTGATTAGTATTAAAATAGTCTGTTCAATAGTAAAACTATTACGAAGATATTGCTTATGTATTTGTATCTAAATATGGTGTCTACAGATGCATGATATGCTGTTTTCATAATACCATATTCAATTATAATTATGAGTCTTCAAGTATATGACATGCTCACTTCAAATACGAAAAGAGCTAGTATTATAATCAGCATGTGATCTAAAAATACAAATAACAACTACAATTAATTAGTACTGACCATGCGAGACCTGATCCTTTTAAGAGATCCACAAACTTGATGTTCCAAGTTTTGCAGCTCCCTCAGAGTTAAGGAATCCAAGTCATCTCCCATAATGTTCCTGCTTGATTAGGAGAGGAAGATTAGTACGTAAGATAAGCTGGAATGCTTTGCCTATATAATATATATAATAAAGTGGAACTAGACAAGGAAAATAATCCAGACCTTTCGTTTCTCTGCAAAGCTTCCATTCGGGCCTTGACCTTTGCATGCTCTAAACTGCAACTTCGCTGCCCAAAGGTACATTTTTGGAACGCTACTATGATTTATTGTCACAATGGAAGGTGAAATATATAGAATTTCCTGCAATTTGGATGCATGGAATTGGCAAGTTGGAATGACAAAAATTAACTTGAGAATCGAGTTTGTTAATCTTGAATTTGATACTCTTCCTATATTCAGTACGGTTCCACTTCACTCATAAATTTTCGGAACTTGGACGTACTTTTATTCATAATTGGCTTGCCTCGCCAATATACCATAAATTATATTGTAATACCCCGTAAAAATAATTGCCAGAAGTTCGCCGGTAGTCGGACAATTTTATTTTGGGCTTAATTTATTTGGACATTTGTGATATTTTAAAGTGTTAAAGAGGTTTAATTTGAGTGTGGTAGTATATGAGTTTTGATTTGGCCCATTTTGGGCCTAAAAATGAAATAGGCCGATTTTCTTCTCCATTTGGTCTCTTCTTTTAAGGTGAGTAAGATTAAATTTAGATAAATGATATGTTATAATTTTTAAACTCATTTGTTGAGTCCATATGATATTTTTCAAATGGATTTGTTCTAAAAGTATTAGATTTTGCTAATTTCTTTTTAAAAAGTTGATTATAATATTCTTTGAGGCTTATGCGAAAATTATTATATGGTATTTTAAGTTGAAAATTATAGAAATTGTGAAATGAGTTTGAAACTCTAATTTTTCTATAAACTAGTTTATGAGCTTAAGGAAAATAATTTTTTATTATTTTAAATATTATGACATTGTAGTTAGATTGTGTCTATTTGAATGGATATATCATCCAAGTGTTATTTGGCAAAAATCAAATGAGATTTTAACGAACTTGTTGGATTTTTAATACTCTCCTTCTTATTTGGTTATTAGATGAAAAGGTTGTTGGACAAAAAGAATGTTGTAAGAGCAAATTTGAAAGCTCTTTTGGTTGGGACGAAAGATATTCCGTTGTTTTGCTATTTTCTCAATTCAATAAAGATTTGTAAGATTTTACTTCTGATTTTACTATTCTAACTTTCTTTTCCTTCCAAAAACATCAAATCAAACATCCAATTTTTATTTGGACAACCGTATCAACGCGTTAGAAAATAACGTAACTGCCTTGGTTGCAGCACATGAGGAGACGCGACAACAAGTGGATGTGGTTAAGACAGCGCAGACTCGGATGCAAACTTAGATAGGGGCTATACAAAACCAGATGACTAAGCAATTCATGAGTTGATGGCAACCTTGCAGGGTGGTACTAACCGTCCTACGATTATGGCCAATGACCCCACAGGATCCTCGATTGTGATTAATAGGCACAAACCTAGCGCGCCACCGACAGAAGGCCAACCGCTAGCCATCGCAAACCCAGTAGCAATTTCAAATATAACGCTGCCAATATTTAATGGTGCTGATAGAATCAGTTGGATCGGAAAGGCAAAGCATCAGTTTTGACTACACGATGTCATAGGGAATCGTCAAGTACTATTAGTAAGGATGGCCATGGAAGGAAGGGCGTTGAATTGGTTATGCAACTTTTGATCCAGGCACGATGATTCATCATGGTGTGATCGATGCAAACATCCCTACAGACCGACTTATGCGTGCCCAATGAAACAGATACATACGCTAATCATGGACGAAGGGAAGTCGTGGGACCCCGGGGTAGAACAAGTGGATGATGGAGATAGTAAGTTGTCAGGAATTAGAGATAGGGGGACAGAGGGGGAACACAGTAGATATCATGTGACCATCGTGATGGAATCTGACTCAATCATAGTCCTCCTGGACCAATCACTAGGAGCCGAGCCCGTAAATTTCAATTGGCAATTACAAAGTGTGCCAAACTTCAAGTGGATGCCATTGCTGAATTCTACACTGAGGATGAAAATAAACCATGCATTCTTCTGGAATTGGACCACAAATCCCAAACCATAAGGCCATGAGCATCTTACAAGGCATCGGACCTCCCCTAAATTACTATCCCTAATTGAAGGGATCCCATAAATCAATATCTCCTAATTGAAGGAATTCCATAGATTAAGGGATTACCAATAATCATGGGATTATAATCTATATGATTTTATTTCCTCTAGGAGTGCACTTTCTTGTATTAATTTTCATGGCTCCTCTATAAAAGGTCCCATGATTATCATTGTAAGGATTATTCATTTCAACAAAGATATTTTATAAATTGATTTTTATATCAAGACCGATTCTTGTGCATTCAAGTGATTTGAAACAAGTCGTGGTCTCTCGAATAGTACTGGAACTATTTGTGCCTTAGCTTGTATTGTCGGTTTGTTTAGAGGATTGTGAGACGTGAGCTTGATCTCTCATGTTGCCTTTCCGACTACGTCTCAATTCAAGAGAATCCAGGTTATCTCCATTAATATATATATATATCCATCCATCCCTTATTCTATCCAAGTCTTTCCAATATTATTATTACTTATTCCCGTGGAATTCGATCCGAATTGTCGTCATAGGCAAGTTCGCATCAGGATATATCCCTATTCTTGTATTCACTAGCGGACTTCACGGGTACACAAGCTATTAGGGTTTATGAAATGCTCAATGGAATACAAGTGGCAATATTTTTAGATGGTTGTGCGAGTCATAAATTCGTGTCGCAAGAATTGGTGGGGATATCGTTATACATTTTCGCTTGTTAGTGTGGATGTCATATTAGGAGTTGCGTGGCTGCAAACTTTGGGCGGCGTACAAGTCAATTAGGAAACTATTACTGTGACATATAACCATGGAAAGGATCTTATGACCCTTCAGGGAGAGCCAACCCTATTGGGCTTAGTGACGGAACCGGTGAGTTGCGTAGAGACCCGATGAGCCATATCAACAATGTTAGCCAACAGTGCAAGCCGGGTGGATCGCAAGAAAGTATCGGAATAGTATCCAAACAGGTTTGAGGAGTCGGGAAGATCACCACCAAGATGCGAGAATGATCATCGTATAAAATTCCAATAAGGTTCTGGTATGATATCCGTATGGCCTTATCGTTATGGTCACTTGCAAGCATAAGATTTGACGCATGGTGAAAAAGATGTTGACAATAGGGATCATTCACCCAAGTTCAAACCAATTCCCGAGTCCAGTGCTATTATTAAAGAAGAAAGATGAAAGGAGATTTCGTATTATTTTCGTGAGTTGAAAAAGGTGAAATCCAATTCCAACACTTCATCAAATTTTAGATGGCTAGTTGAATCAATGGTCTTTTCAAGGATAGACCTACATTTTGGGTACCACCAAATTCGAGTTCAAGAGGAAGATGTACCAAAGACGGTGTTTTGCACGCACAACAGACACTATAAGTTCTTAGTAATGCCTTTTGGGGTCACTAATACAGTGGAGACATTCCAGTTTGCGATGAATGATCTATTCTGACTGTATCTGCGTAAGATTTTACTCGTTTTCTTTGACGACATATTGGTATATAGCCATACATGAGATGAACACATAAGGCATTTGATGTTTGTGATGGAGTTGTTTCAGACGACTCAATTTACGGAGAACAAGAAAAAATGTCCATTCGGATATATGGAGGTGGAGTGTTTAAATCATGTTGTTTCCACTATAGGGGTCGTTATGGATCCGGGAAAGGTGTGTGCAGTTCAAACATAACCTACTCTAACTTCGGCTTGGGGAATTCATGGTCTCCTGGGTTTGACATAATATTATAGAAGGTTTATACGTGGATATAGGGCTCCCGCCAGGCTGTTCACCAAACGAGATTTTAGTGGAGCAGCTGGGTTTAAATGGGGAGCCAGAAGTTCTTGTTTGGTGGCCTGGTTTGGAATAACAAGGCACAGCGTGATTCACTTAGGAGGAGCTCCAACAACAATTTTTAACTCTCCGCCTTGGGGACAAGGCGTTTTCACGGGGGAGGCAATTATACCGATGAATCCCGGCAATGTCGGGAGGATCGACTGCTAGTAGTTTACTCGCGGTCGATCAAAGGGAATCAACCCACTTTAAGTTGATAGTAGCACTTTTAATTTGTTGGTAGCACTTTATTAAATTAAGTATTTTATAATTTATATTTAATTAATTTATTAGGTCTAATAATAAGATTATTGGGCCATTAGGGCCCAATAAGAAAGTCTTTAAATATGTTAGAGTCAACAAATCTTAGTGATCATCTAGGGTTTTGGAAATCAACCTTATTTTCCCTATTCAATAAAGATTCATATTTTACTACGTATCACATTTAAGCATTTATTTTGGATTAACTCCAACGGGGGAAGATATTCCGTTCTTTTGCTATTTTCCCTATTCAATAAATATTCATATTTTACTACGTATCACATTTAAGCATTTATTTTGGATTAACTCCAACGGGAGAGGATCCTCGGCATCACACTCCTCCCTGTCGCACACACTCCAACATATAGTATAAGAGATAGTCACTCTTTGAAACTTGTTCCAAGGGAAAGCAAATCCTAAGGTCAGCCAACAATGAACCATGGAGGAAACCTCTATGAACTGGTAGCAGAACAAAAAATATATATACCAGCAGTTCTTGTGCCGCTGCTTATATATGAAAGGGAGGAATTATATACAGAGTTTGCAAAGCCTGCAACTGAAATCTCTAAGAATCATGATGATAGGGAAACTAACACGACTGGAAGAGCTAGATTAGTTAAGGGCACTGATGATTCATTATTTATGCTAAAAGGATAGTTAAATTGAAGACTAGAATGCTAACTTGAAGGATTCATAAACTATCTAGAACAAGAATGTTAGTCTGTCCAGAACAAAATTTCAAATATAATTTATGTAAGAGTTAGGAATTACGAAGGTTTAGAGGATATTAAATCTTTTATGCTGGTTAATCCAAATATCACTCATACAGATTCAATCTTTCCAAGAAAATTATTACCGGTGATTCAAGATGATCCGATGCTCTCGTTGGCCTGTCAACGCCCACATGTGCTTGATAGCGTTCAAGGATTCTATCCATGCTGCAAAAAGACATTAAAGATCAAATATTAAGGTGTTGCTCCAAGCTATATTATGAATACAGTTCAACTTGTCTGAAGATTCAGATGTCAGTTTATTGCCTTTCTAGTTCAAACTATGCAGCCTCTATATTTGTTTCAACTATTTTTTGAGAGAAAATTTTGGAAAACAATATATCATATTTTATGTTCAGCTTTAGAAACAATGCTTAGTGCAGATGATAAAAGCTACACACTAACATAGGAGGAGACATTCATTTGAAAAAGAGAACCATTATTTTTTATGTTCAAGCTCGGTTCTTTCTTTCTTTTTTTTCTTTTTTTCTATTTCTTTAATATACAGTCCTTATAATTTTATATGAAAATAGATTATTTTTCTCATAAAAACATTACTTAATTCAAATCTCAAAAGCAAAACACAAACCAAACACAATTTAAGGATACGAATTGGCTAACACTTGTTAGTTAGGGTGTGTTTCTTTTGTCTAATTTCCGCCGAACTTACTGTACAAAGACTGTAGAGGGTGAGAGAGGCGCGAAACCATGCCTAATCCGACCATCTCTGCGCCCTATCCTGTAGGCCTGAACACACCCTTCAATTAGCGATTTTTTTATTTTTTATTTTTGTTTAAAATAAAAATTGAATTTATGACACACAGCCAACCCCAACACAAATCCGTTCACGAGACAAAGCATACCCACAAGCCTTTTGAATAGGTTTCGTGCGACGGCGACGGAATGATTCCCGCAACATGCTCGACGATGGCGGAAGGGCGGACGCCCAAACTGTAATGACGGCTGAAGGTCCACTAGTACACGGGAGAAGAAGAGGAGGAAGAAGAAGGGAGAATCGAAAAAAAAAAAGAAGGGAGAAAAGGGGACGAAGAATAAAATGAGCAGGAGGGAAAAGAAGAGAAAGAAGAAGAAAATGAAAAAGGGAGAAGAAGGGGAGGTGCGGCGGCGGCGGTAGGAGAATTTTTTTGGGTTAAATCGGTGGTTTTTGTCTTATTTTTTTAATATATTAATAATTAAAAATAATAAATTAAGGGTGTGTTTGTCAGGGAAATTGGATTTTAAAGTTCACTATTCTTCCTATTTTTTTTCTCTAAAATATTAAATCAAACACCAATTCTTTTATTTTTATATTATATTAAAAATTAATTTTAATTCGCATCAACGTCTATTTATATCACATCATACAACTATTAAAATTCAAAATTTTTATTATTCAAATTCCAACTCAAACTCCAGATACCCAAACAAACACACCCTAAATTTATTTAATTTAATATAATTAATAACTATATAATTAATAACTATCAAACCTATAACACCGAAGGAACACAAAAAATCAAACTTAACCTAAAATTCAAACTCAATCCAAACTCAAACCAAATTTCTCTCAAACCACTCAAAATAGATTTGCCTAAACGGTTCAAATCGCCGGTTACGATTTGTCAGAATTTCAAACCGAAATCGAACCGTCCGAATGACGATTTCGATTACAATTTGACGGTTTCAATTACGGTTTATAAACCGACGATTTCAGTTTAAAAATCGCCAATTACAGTTTGAACCGCCGATTTATATTACTTTTTTTTCTGATTTTTTCTTAATATTAATTTTTACTATTAATTTTGATTTCGATTTTAATTTACTGAATCTTTGTATTTTTGTAAAAGAGTTATATAAATAATACTTCATTTTTATAAAATAATTATTTATCAATTTATTAATTAAGAATTAAGAATACAATTATAATGTATACAATTATTTAATAAGTTAATTTTTAAATTAAATCATACTATTAGAATTATTTAAAAAAAAAAAAAACCGTCAACACCGCCGGTTTCGGTTCAAACCACCGGTTTGTTTCATCAAATATAGGCAGTCGGATCTGCATAAATTAATCTTGACCGTTCATTTTAAAAAGATAAACTCATCCAAACCGCCGGTTCAATTCGGTTCCAAACCGGCGGTTCAAACCCGAACCGCCGGTTTGGGCAGGCATAAACCGCCGGTTCAAACCGTAAATCGGCGGTTTACAGTTTGGCTCAAACACAAATCGAAATCGAACCGTCGGATTGACGATTTCGGTTCGGTTTGAGCCCGATTTCGGTTCAAACCGAAACCGCCGGTTCACAAATCAGAAACGGACGGTTCGAACCGGGGGTTCGGAACCGAACGAGCAAGTCTTAACTCAAAAGAAACACAACCTTAGTTTTAATGATTAAGATTTGATTCCTAAATCAGGGTCTGTAAAATGCAAAATAGAGCTTTATCATTATGTGATTGATCGAAAATGTATTTGCAAGAACTTGAATGTAGCCTCTTATTTTACCAAGCAAAATAATGATAAGATTTGGATAATGGGAAAGTAAAACTTCATTTTAACACCTCAGATGATAATTCTTCACTTTTCACTGCTGCATAGATTAATATTCAAGAGAAGACTTAGAATATATTAAAAAATCAGAACATAAAAACAGGTGAATATCTTAAAGGATAATAGTTTGCATGAAAAATAATAATAATAATAATAATAATAATAATAATAATAATAATAAGTAGAATGATAAAACTATTATTCTAAGTCTGCACAAATTCTGAAAAACAAGGCTAAAAAAAAAAAACAAAAAAATAAAAAATAAAACACCCAACAAAAAAAATCAGCAACAAATTCCAACCGGTGTCGAAACGCAAACAAACAAAGCAACCATTTCATGAACAAAAAATAACATACAACAAATCTAACGCCTGCGCAGTACGAAAAACCGAAGGTAAAACAACGCAAAACCCCAAATTTTACTCACCACGAATCGGTCGCGTACTCAAAGAGCTTTCCTTTTGTGGAGAAAATCACCAATCCGACGTCAGCGTCGCAGAGCAAGGAGATCTCGCGCGCTTTCTTCAGCAGTCCAGATCGTCTCTTGGAGAAGGTCACCTGCTGGTTCACCTTATTCTCAATTCTCTTCAGCTCCACCCTTCCCCTCCCCATCCTACCACCGGAAAACAAGGAAGACAAAAATCAAATCAAAATCTGCGCAGGGTGAGAGAGAAGAGAAGATTTTTGGAATTGTTGGACGCGTGTGTGTGTGTGTTTGCGCATTCGGAAACATAAACAATCGTTAGATGCACTGTGATGGTGGTTTTGTAATACCACGGCGGTTTCGTCACAGCCGCTGTCGATTCATGGTTGGCTCAAGAGATTTTGAGCGGTGCGATACGCGACGCGTGTCATCGGATCTTCTCAGCCTTTGTTGTTTGTACGTGTAGATTATTCTTTCATGTGAGCCGTCATTTGGTGTTAAATTCCTTTCCTACCCTCGTACCTATTGCTACTCCCTGGTCCCTCTTTAGCTTAATTTATGTAAATTTGTTTAGATGAAAATATTAAAAAAATAATTATATATTTTGTTATTTTTTACTCTCGATGAAGTTTTTCGTCAGGATATGGTATTTTATATATTATTAAGTTATTAATAATAAATTAAAATAATATTTTATTATTTTTTATATGTGTATATATTATTAAGTTATTAATAATAAATTAAAATAATATTTTATTATTTTTTATATGTGTAGTATTGTTAGTATTTTAAGGGTGTGTTTGTTTGGATGTTTGAATTTTGAGTTGGGATTTGAATAGTAAAATTTTGAATTTGAATAGTTGTATGATGTGATATAAATAGGTGATGATGTGATGTTTTGAATGTAAAATTGATTTTTAGTATAATATAAAAAATAAAAAATAGATGTTTCATTTGATGTTTTTTGGGGGGGGGGGGGAATTTTGGATGAATAGTGAGATTTGGACCAAATCTCTCAACCGAACACATCCTTAATATTTTAAGAATTATATCTCAATAAAATATATGCACCATATATATCATTTTGTAAACAATAAAATTTTATACAATACAAATGAATAAAATAATATATTTATTTATTATCGTTACCATAAATTAGTTTTATAAAAAATAAGGAGTTTTAAAAGTAGATAAAAATATTTGTTAATTGATGAGAGAAATAGAAATAAAGGAATTTTGAATAGGTCCTACGTATAAGATGTTAGAAGTTTAATTAAATTGATTTATATTTGTTAAGTATATTTAAGAGTGATAAGTTTACTAAAAATGGAAAAGGGCGGGTCGTACCAAAAAAGGATCATATGTGGCAGTACGGAAGTAGTATTATTTAAATAATCCTATAAATTATTTATTTTCTTAATATTTTTTTCAATACACATTACAAATAATTTCATATATATATTTATTTATATATTAATATTCTAACATTAATTTTATATATCATAAGGATTTTTACGATAAAAAATTATCCTTAACTATCATTAAAATAGAATATTTATTAATTTAGTATAAAAAATAAATATTTATTTTTCAAGTGGATAAATGGAGTAATATTTTAATATTAAAAAAAAGGTAAAGTGTTTTTTAATCCAGTAACTAGACTTCCTTGTCATTTTAGTTCGGTAAGTCTGTCACAAACTAGTCTTATAAGTAAAAATTTTTTTGTTGTTTTAGTTATCCGACGCCGGAGACGCTCGCTTGGCTCGCCGGAAGCCACGTGTCCGCCAAGTGTTCCGCCAGATCAGCGACACCTGACGGACACGTGGATTTTATTTTTTATTATTTTAATTTTTTTTTTTCAATTGGACTGAATAAAAAAAAATTAAAAAAGCAAATACAATTAAAAATAAGTTTAAAATCAATTTTTTTTTAAAAAAAAATAGAAAAATAAAAAAATAATAATAAAATCCACCTGGCGGACACATAGCTTCCGGTGAGCCACGCGGGTGTCTCCGACGTCAGAGGACTAAAATAGCGAAAATTTTTCACATATGGGACTAGTTTGCGACAGACTCTACCTACGGGACTAAAATGATAAATGGTTCAGTTACGGACTAAAAAAACAGTTTACCCTTAAAAAAAATCTTAAATAAAAACTATATTATATTCAGTTTTTTCTTAGCTGAAAATACTATTTTTACTATTTTGTCTCTTTCATTCAAAAATATTAATTCTCTGTTACAGTAAAATCTAATTACACATTAATACCAATATATTTTAAATTTTTATATAAATTATAAATATGTATACATTAAATTAAAATGGACAAAATATTAAAACTATTTTATTCACTTTTAAAAATTAATAAAATATTATTATTTTTTAATTTATTAGAAATGATACATTTGGATAGTGTGGAGAGTAAGTTTTATTAAAAACATAATAAAAAGTGGAGTAAGAAAAAAAAAAAAAAAAGTCATTATTTGTTAAATTTAAATAATAAAAATAATTTTTTTTTAATATATAAAATAAGTATATTTTTAACGACAATTCAGAAAAATAATATTAATAATGTTATGGGAGAGTGTCAATACTACATTTTAACCCTTAAGGAAATTTAGCATTACCAATTTTTAGTTGAATATATACCTTTTTGTATTACCATTTTTTTCTTTTTGGATATTCTATTTGTATTTTGGATTTTAAATTTGAATAATTATTTTTTAAATTCTTTGTTTGCTCGGAATATTTATTTGAGTTCCTTTTTCTGTTATACATTCACAATTTCATTATTTATATTTTAATATATAATAATTAATTGATCATTATCTTTTATTAATTTTTCAATAATTTTTATAATAAATGCATGCTATTTTTTATCTACTTTATTTTTATATTAAAATATTACTTTTTTTCGTTTCAACTCAATGGATTTTTGTATTATTTTTGCACGTCCTATTCAAAAATATTTATTTTATATTCTAGTAAAAAAAAATTATATACAGATATCAAAATATTTTTAATTTTTACAAAAATATTTATTATTTTGTACTTATAAGAAAAAATATATATATTAAAATCATTTTACATATTCTCACTAACTAATAAAAAATGTATAATATATTACAAATATATATATATATAATAAGAACAGATGAAGTATTATTGCTTAATCTCCTT